AACAACAGATTAGCAATATAAGAATCTTTCAGTCAAAATAGTCACATTTGGATTATGTAATCCAGCCTGACTAGTTGAGTCTCTAATACGAGTCTTGAAAGAATGCAGTGTGTATGAATCTATATTAATTTATTGCTGTACCACTCGTGTCCTGGTATCTTACCTGTACTTGCCTGTCTTTCATCATTCTGGTTCTGAATACTTAAGTTCAGTGTCTTTTTCCTATCCTAAAACTGTTGTTGCTGTCGATTCATACCCATCTTGGCATTGTACCAGCCAGACCAGGCAACAAAAAGAATTGGTTTGTTTCACGTGTTCAGGTAATTCAAGATACACTAAGTGCAGTGGGAAGCTTCTGCAGAGTAATCGTGTTGGAATGGTTTGCTTGGTTTGTGACCAACTTTCTCGCATCCCCGTGGTAATTTGATGCTGATGGCCTCTTTCGCAGCAGTGGCTGTATGCTGTGTTCCCTTTGTCTACTAGCCTCTAAACTCAAAGTCAAGATACTTGGACCCTCAAATCTTGAACACCCATTCTGTGGGCAATCTCATTCCCCTCTTTGAAAAGGAAACACAGCAGTTCTCAAATCTTGGTAAAATTCACCAGGAGAATCAGGTGACTGTGCAATGTTAAACACTTATTTTAACTTTTTCATAACAGAAGGTTAATGAATTTTAAGATTAAGTGCTCATTGTACAACATGCCTTTTATGGATTATATTATGTTTGAATTGTCCTTTCTGGTGGTAGCCTCTCAAGTGACTTTTTACAGATATACTTTCAGTCATGTTACCAAAGATGCTGCACTTAATCAGCTTGCATAAAAACTCAGGTTAGCTCTCAGTGTGAAGGGTCAGTGATCTTGCACTCAAGTTTCAGTGCTGCTTGACTTAAAAAAGATGAGTTGGGTCTTGTAATAAAAAGTGAGAAAGCTTGTCAGATGTTTACAAAGATGTCATGTAACTTTTCATGCAAAAGTATGAAGCATGCTATGACACAGGAAGTGTCCCAGGGAATTTGGGAGAAGTGCTCACACTCATATACTCTGCTGCATGTATGTAGACTAATGTAATTCAAAAGCAATTGAGCCAAATCTTTATTTGAATCCATATTAGAAAACTTTAGTAAAAAAGAAACTGTTTAGTGCTGATAACTGTTGTGGGATTTTAACCTACTGATTCTCATTTTCTCAAAACCTCTTGTTAAATGATATTTTCATTCAAGGTCAGTTGGCATAGCAGAGCCGGCCTGTAGAAGGTTAAAGCCTGATGTAACATTTTCAGATGGGTCAATGGTCTATACGCTTGTAGTGGCATGTAAGTGAAATCCATTATGCCTGTGTGTTTCTCTGTAGTTTCCTCCTGTATGTCTAAGACAGCAAATATCTCTCGGCTCTAGGGAAAAGGTGTAGAACGGCATGAAACTAATGGGCGTGTTTCTAGCAATCTTCATGGGAGCTCAATTTCCAGTGCAAGGAGGTAAACCTGGAAAAGACAAATATGGTGATTATGCTGGCTTTGATTGCCAGAGTTAAACTAAGTGGAAAATAACATGCTTACTGCCTTCCAAGGTAAAATACTAGAGTTGCTTGCCCTAAAGTGGTGGCTCTTCAGTGTTAGAGTTCTCTAAGTATTATGGACTCAAGCATACAATGTCAGGGCATCTATATTGGACTGGTAGAGAACCAGGAATACCCAGGCCAGGCTAACAAGTATGCATTCCTAAGAAGTATAGATGGCCAAAAACTAAGGCTTGATAATGAGAATGCTAAGTCTCCCCACCGTAGATGTCTGATTATGCTAGTTGCAGGTGAAATACCATGAATACCTGCAGAGTATTCACTGGCATTTGAATACGTCAGTTACTTTTTTGGAACAGACTTAGTTTCAGTTACAAGGTGCCAATCCCAGTTAGTCTCATTGTGGATGCTTAAAGAGTAATCTACTTAATATGGCCTTTATACCAGCCAGCACTGTTGACCTGTTAAAATGTTTCAGAATGCAGTACTTCAGGGAGCTGCTTTGACTGCTTTGGTGGGTAAATGGTAAATCTAACTGAAACGAGCAGAAGAGTTATGTGAACACCGCACAGAGCTTCTGAAAAGATGACTCAGTCCAACATGGATGCTTTCTTAGCAGTTTTGTGTTTGCAGACTGTACTGTTAGTGTACCAGAGATACGGTGGGCTAGCTACTTCTAACACTATACGTTCTGGCAGTATGTGCCTTTCAGATCCTTCTTTAACCTAAGATCATACTTTTTTCTTTCATTTTCTTCTGACGGTAAGAGTGCTTTTGCTAATAGCCTTGCCATGCGTTGAGGACGCTTTTTAAATAGTCTAACTGTTCTTTGATCCATTTTGGTGTTCTGAGGTATATCAAAGCCCAGGACTGAAAAGTTAGTGTCACTGCTACTGAAAAGAGATGCTTGAAACAGATAATTTTTTTCAGAACAGATCCATCTGGTCTGGAATTTAATTTTGTATTTCAGACTTCAGTAGTTAATTTACAGTCATAGTAGCAATAGAACACTTTGGGTTTTTTCGGCTCAGAGTTGTCAACCTCAGTTGCTAAAGGTTGGTTACGTTGCACTTTAGTCTCGTGTGTAAGGCGGAGCAGTAGTAGGGCAGTACGTAACTCCTGAAGATTTGTGAAGTGAAAGGGAACACTTCTTGAAAGTAGGTATAATTTTTAGCTTTGGAATTTTGCGCAGAGCATTCTTAGAACAGTAGGAATTAAACTTTACTTCACAATATTCTTTGTGAACATAAGGGTAGAATATTCGTTGAATTTCTAACCAAAGCCACCGATAGCTTTATAGCGTTTTGAGGATTTTCGTTCATTAAATGCAGCTTTGTTTCTGTTGAATTGTAGTAGGAAGCTGAAAAGGTAATACTAGAGGAAATAAGCTTAAAAGTGACTTTCTGGGTTTTAGCATGCTTTTTCCAAAGACAGAATATTGATCTGTTTACTGTAGTGAACAGATAAAGTCTAGGCTTCATGAGAATCAACATCACCCGACTTCATGGCGCTGCATACATCTCCTGCCTTTACCAGCTCTGTTGATTTGGTTACTTGTGGGAAACAAGGAAGTTGAGGTCTGTCACAAATGGGTTACATCACTGAGGATTAAACCATGACCTTTTTTCTTTTCTGTGAAATGGATGGACAAGAACGTAGCCTGCATGCAGTTCAGAGGATCTAGTATGGGGAACAGTCTGCTTCATTTGATTTTTGAGTCCTAATTCTGGGCTCGTTTAAGAAATGGCGAGGGAGGGGCAGGGTCAGCTTTGGTAAATGCTAGTTAAGTTTGGTGCACCCATGAGACAAGACGTGTTTTCTAAGATTTTTCTCTTTGAATAATTCAAAGCTTTTTATGTGTCCGAACTATGGTTTACCTGAAACATAGGTAGGAGATGTGTTGCTATGTTGTCAGTCAGCTTTTAATAAAGAAATTAAGTAGCATAAGTTTATAAAATCTACAGTTTAGCCAGATTTTGACCCAAATAGATGAATTTCCTGAGTGTTTGCATGTAGTGACTTCACTGTTTTCAGCAAACTTTTAATAGATCCACCTTGTGTCCAGCACTTCCAAACTAATTCTTTTTTACCACTTTTTAGTTTGCCTTGATTCTAAGAGATAGGTGCATTTTTACATATAATGCAGGGTTTTTTTCCCACTTAATCCAGAACACTCTTAACTTGCTGGATATGTCTGTCCAAGAGGATGGGAAAAAAATCAATACTCCAAGGAGAAATCCTTCAGAGGAATCTTTCTATAGTGCAAAATCTATTCTCAAAAACATTTCTTTAGAATGGAAGCATATCAACATTGAATTTTCTGTTTGTATGTGAGGGTGGTGGTTCTGCATGTTTGAGAGGTTGGAATGGAAATTAACAAAATCAAATCATACTGGGAACTAAGCACGAGTTTTAAGAAATCCTAGATTGGCTTTACCACAGTGCTGCTTTCCTCGAGATGACAGAAAAAAACTTAAATCTTGTTTTCAAGAGAAACTTCTTTTTAAAGTCGGAGCATACATACTGAGACTGTGTGGTGGTAATGGATATTGAAAGTTTTTTTCTGGTGTTAACACAAGGTTAGAAGTGTTACAATAAGAGTTGCAGCTCTGAGAAACCTGTAGACTAATGAAGATTAGATGAAGTGTGATGGTAAATGAAAATACCTGAGTAGGAACACTTAGAAAACACAGAATAGATTTTTCAAAAGCAACTTGTAAATTGGAAGCTTGTAATCTATCCCACATTAATGGGAATGGGGTAAAATGCTCAAGATGCTTGGAGAAGAGATACACCACAGCAGCCTGAAAATGATTTTTGGAAATGTTTTCTGATACTACAGCTGCAGGCACGTGGGTGTTTTAATGCTTAGGAGATGAGGGAGGGGAGTATCACGGTGATATGGAGAGGTTGACTAGGGATTGACTGTTCAGTTTGCTCAAATACAAGAATGAATATAAGACTGAGTGAAATTCAAACTGAAAGGAGAAGGTTCTTCACATGAATGATTGTGGATCTGTGAAGCTCCTTGTCAGAGGATGTCATGGGTGTAAGAAATTTATGCAGGCTCAAAGGGAAGCTGAAGTACGTGGAAGAAATCCATGGAGGCTACCAGACAGACAAATCGCATCAGGCTCAGGAAAATACCTGAAAATAGTTGGGGGCTGAAGAACACTTTGGAATATCATGTTTTTTTCTCTTTATTTTTGGAGATGGGGCTAGAGGGAACTTGTGTCATATTATGGAGGAGGAAGGGTGTGAGCAAAGAGTTACAGCAGAAGAGAGAGAAAAGCCAATGGGTGACCAAAGTCTTTTCACATTTTTAAATATAAAATTACAGTGAAATGTTGTAAACAGTAATGAGAATAGGAAAAACACATTTGATTTGGGTTTTTTGGTGTTTAGTTTAAATGTGGATAAATAAGTATTAGTTGGAGGAACTAAAATTTCTAATTATTCTTGTTTATCACTCTTTTTATTAGCAAAACCAAATAGGAAGCTGACATTCCTGTACTTGGCCAATGATGTCATACAGAACAGCAAAAGGAAAGGACCAGAATTTACAAAAGACTTTGCTCCAGTAATAGTGGAGGCTTTTAAGCATGTTTCAAGGTACAGTAAACTGTTATGTGCAGTGTCCTTCATCATACTGTATTTGAGGGGGATTTAGAGAAGTCCTTAATTCATCTCTTCTGACCCAGCTAGTCCTTGTGTGCTATTTCTGTACTTGAAGTCTTGTTAATTTAATTTATTCAATGTTATTTTGATCTTGGATGGTCTTAATGCTGTTGGATGAAGTTACATAGTAAATTCGTCTGCATTCAGTCCCTTTTGCCTTAGAAAGCTGTTAGCTGTGCCTTAAATTAAGACTTGCTTTCAGTCTGTGTTTATATGCTACAAGTTTGTATGTTTCATTACTAGTGTTGCGTGATTTGTTTTTTCCCAACAGCCATTCATCTCGTTGCATGAGGATGCTAGAGTCTTGATACAGAATTATTTTCACATGGTACACAGCTGTTGAAGCAACACAAACCTATTTGCAGTGTTTGCATAATAGGGTTACAGACCTATAGATTTATAGATTGAGCAAGCAAACAGAAAGAGGGAATTGGGTGTTGGCTTTTTTTATGTGCTTGCTAAGACATTTCGAACTGGTCTTTGCTTTCTTTTCTTTAAAACGTGATTTTGTTATTTTCTGAGATTATTGGACTTCTGATACTTTGATATTGATAAAATATGCCAAGGTCCTTCTGTGAAAGGTAATCATACAGCAGTGCTGTACTTTTACCTAGTGCTGACTTTTGCTTTTTTTTCCTTGTAACAGTGAGTCTGATGAGAGTTGTAAGAAACACCTTGGCCGAGTGCTCTCTATCTGGGAAGAAAGGTCTGTTTATGAAAATGATGTATTAGAACAACTTAGGCAAGCTTTGTGTAAGTATTTTCTGTGTGTATGAAGATTCAGTCTCTTGTTTGAAATATTATTTCTCTGACTCCTCTGTTTTCATTTAGATGGAGACAGAAAGGTGAGGAAGCGCACATATGAACAGATAAAAGTTGATGAAAATAACTGTTCACCTCGAAGTTCTCCCACTGACCCTCCACAGGTAAAAGCATGTTTATAAAATTCTGTGTTTGCATATGGCTTGTTACAGAATTTTTCAGTTACTCTTGTTTTTGATTGGTCTGTTTTTCCTTTTAATGAGGTACTACTTCTGAGCAAGGGTGACTACAGCTGAAACTTCACAGTATTTTAGGTTACAAGTGGAGCTAAGAGGTTGAGCATGCTGTAACCTTAGTCAGTTTGACACTAAACCAGAATGTATGAACTATATATCCAGCTTTGTCCACATCAGGATTTCAGCATTAGTTTCTACAGTGTTTTAGGTTCTCATTTGGTTTCCAGGGTGGTAACCAGTAACGCATGTATTAGAATAAGATTGTTACCGGTTTGTCAATAAAGTATTTCTCAATGTTACAATCATGATGGTTGGGAAAAGTTCTTGTCTACCTTGCACTGTTACGGCTTTTATAATTCTTGCGGGTTTTGTGTTATGGTACTACCCCATCTCAAAAGGCTTTTTGTTATGGCAAGGCATGACTGTCCTCAAATAATCACAATTTAGTATGTTTCTCTGTAACAGACATCTGGGCTTCTATGAACATCAGCCCTACTTCCAAAAGAAGTGCACTGATCTAGTCTGATGCGATAGTGAAGCAAAACTACAAGAAAAATAATTTCAAAAATGTATAGTAAAATGAAAGGTACTGTAAAATAATCACTACTGTCAAAAATAAAAGACTTGTAAGTAGTCCTATGCCAAAAATTTAAATGAAAAATCTATTTTAGGAAGGTGACCTTTAAAACTAGAAACACTGCAGTATTGTTCCGAGAATTAATGGCTTAGTTGTGGTTTGTTTTCAGTCTAAGAGGGGATAGAATGTTTCTATAATGCTGATATCATAAATGCTTTTAAAATTACCATCAAACTGATTCCATAAGCTTATTGTGAAATACTGTTTTGTACTAGGATCTGTTTATTTAAACTAGTTCTCAATCTTGCATGCTTTTTTCAGACCACAGATCTCATTAGAGCATTACAAGAACTAGAAAACGCTGCCTCTGGGGATGCAGCAGTTCATCAGAGAATAGCTTCTTTGCCTATAGAGGTCCAAGATGTGTCCCTGTTAGACAGAATAACAGGTGAGGGTTGGGGATCGAGTAACTGAAATGCTGTTCTGAGAACTTAACAGTATATAATGAAATCATGCTTTACTTGTTTTTTTTTTTTTTCTGCTTGCTTTTTAGATAAGGAATCTGGAGAGCAACTTTCCAAAATGGTAGATGATGCATGTATGTTGCTGGCGGATTACAATGGCAGGTTGGCAGCTGAAATAGATGATAGAAAACAGCTAACTCGAATGTTGTCGGACTTTCTCCGATGTCAAAAAGAATTCCTTGCAGAGAAAGAACATAAGCTGGAAGTGCGTAATGTTTTGTTTTAGTCCATTCTTCCCTATAGCTTGTTCTTGCAAATGTTTTTAGTTTGCCTAAACAAACTTTCTCTCCAAAGGTAAATATTTAATCATCACTTTTAGGTCTTTGCTTCCAGCACATTTTTAACAAGATTTTTTTTGGTTCTGGTGTTCTAAATCTATTAAACCAGCTCAACATTAGGTAGTGTTACAACTGTAATCACTTCAGCGTTTGTCTTTCTGTTTTTTAGCCTATTCAGTCTTCATTATATGTACAGACTTAGTTTTAGTAGTGCAGATAGAAAGTCTTATCCTGAATGGTACAAATTTAATTCTTCATAGAGTAAATTTTTTCTTGTTCTTTTCATTCATTGTTGTAAGTCTTAGTTATGTATTACATTGTTTAATAATATCCTTTTTGTGACTAGAATGATCTTTCTGGTAGTTGGTATGTTTGTGAAGTCACTTAAAGGATAAGAATTTAATTACCGGTTTCAGCACAACTTTTTAATCTGACTCAAGCATCCATTATACCTGGTAAAATGTAGTTTTAGGTTCTACAGCCTCTAACACAGCTGGTTAGCAGCATTTGTAGCGCTGGCACCATTAGGACAGGACAAATCATTAATAAAAGAAGGATGCAGAGTGAACAGCTCATTATGAGCAAATGATCCCCTAAGTTACTCTGTTCTTCACTATTACCAGTCATCTATGTTTTCCTTTCCTACCACATAATACTGTCAGGCCTTCTGTTGAACTTCCCACATATCCTAAATAGGTCCATAACTTCATGTCCATTGCTTCCTAAATCCCTTGTCTCGGCTTTGAGACATAGGTTCCAGTGCTAACTTGGGTATGACAGCAATAGAACTGAAGCTGCACCCTTTTGCAAGGGGAAGATAGCTGAACAGTTGCAGTGCTCTGTAACTGCAGCATATGCATGTAGTCCTTAGAAGGTGCACAAATTAATTGCTCTTCAGGTTTCATATCATACAGGCCTGTCAAGAATGTTTTCTTCACTCTCTGGTTTCTCTACCCTTTTATAACTTCATAACTTGAGTTCAGATTTTGTAGTGTCTTTGTTCAGGAAAACGTTGTTCACAATGTATCTGAAGTGATCACTCAGATCAGTTGTGTCATTCCTAGACTACTCCTCTTTCCTGACTTCCTTCCTATGCCTCACAGAAAAGCAATTGATGAAGGTGGTTCTTATTAACTTCACTGTGTTTATCCGGTGGGGAGAATATCAGCCAACTTCATGTGAGATAGGTGATATGCACGGTAGTGCTGATTGCAGTAGCAACTGATCCAACTGCACAATGGAACCTGGAAGATTAAAAAAACAGGAAGCCTTAAGCTTTCAATCACCTGCCTTACCTTCCCTCTGTGTGTGTGTGTGATGTGTTTGAAGGACAAGTTCCCACAGTACCAGTGTAGGATTGATTGTCTTGAGACACTCACTTCTTTTTGTAGATCGTTACCAGCAATTAGACCCTGTTTAGGTATAGTAGACCACCGGGATAGTGAGTTGCTCAAAAGGCAGTGACTTAGTCCTTCAGACAGATTTATACTTCTGTAAAAACAAAAGAACTCAATTAGTCAGAAATTACAAATGGACTGCAGCTGTGAACAGATTCCACTCTTGTTGGTTGTTTTCACAAATACGAAACAGTTTAATTTCCCATTATTACTAGATCAAAGAGTTCATAGCTGTAAGAGAAAGCAATTGCTTATTCCTAGGCTGTCATAGTCCTTAAAACTGTGTTTCTTGGCTTAAACTGTTAAAGAATCTCATTCTTATACAGCATGCTTCCAGCTTCAGACTGGTTTCAGAGGTCTGTCTTCAGAAAGCAGGAGACAGTCTTCAGTATCTGTAGCAGTTTGTTTTAAGCAGATGAAGTCCTAGGATGTTGGGGTATACTCTAAGAATGTTTTTAGGCTGATCAGTGTGGTACAAATGCAGGTTACTAATACAGAACCGTGAGCCAAGATGGTGTCAACCCAAGGTACTAATAAAGAGCTATAAGCCAAGAAATTGTAAAGAACAAGAACCTTAAAATCAAGCTTCTAAACTTGTGTTAAGATGAGTGACTTTATGCTCACTACCAGTAGTGCCTTTTGGTTTGGGAGGTGCAGGCTGATAAACATTCTGAAGTTTTGAAACGTAAGATCAGGATGTCTTCATGATACTGTCTATAGGGCCAGCTGACTTAGTTTCTCTGGGTTGTTTTTTTAATTTATTTTTAAGAAATGGCTATCTTCTGATGTAAATACCAAATACCTGTAGCCAGATGCATTTGTTTTCTGAAGCAAGGACTCTGTTTTTACAGTCGTGGGAAATACCATACCTCAGATTAAGCCTTGCTTCTTGGCTTCTCATTTGAAATAGCCCTGGGAAAGGGCCTATCACGTAATTCTTTGAGAATGTATTTCCTGAACTGTCTGTTCCTAGGTTTTACTGCTCAAGTTTTAATTTCTGGTGAAATTAATTTGTTCTAGACAAGCTTGTTTCCTTTGTTAGACTTCTGGCTATTGACATTTTTTTGATTATAACATGGTCTCTGGATTGTAACATATCAAGTCTTCATTTCTTTCTGAATTAGTATCACCCATCTGTGAGTATATTGCTGAGATCCTACCTTATTGCTTATACCTGTCTAACACCCAGGTATGTTAAGAAACAAGTGGTTGTATTCTTAGTGGAATCTAGAAACGTTACCTGCTGTTGACCTGGTTTAACAGTATTAGAATTTGAATTTCCAGTGAATTCTTGCTAACTTTAAACTTTAGATGGGAGCTTTAGACCTAAATTTGCAGATCTTGTATCTTCTGAAGAAAATTTACAGGTAAGTAACTTTGAATAACAAATCTTTCCATGAGTATTTTTTTAAAAATAAGAGTTTCTCTTGTAGTTATTTCTAAGCAGAAGTGCATGATTCCCATCAAAATCAAGGTAATGTATGCATTAAATCTTGACATGAAATTCTGAAAACAGATAAATAATATGAGCTGTCGTGTCTGCATCAAAAGCTAATTGTACTGCTTAGTAGGTGACTTTCATAAGTCTGCTCTGGGTAAGTAGTGTCATCTTTAACCCTTAAATTGTTTTCTTTAACATCTGTCTAGCTTCTGTTGCAGGTGGTGGACATGGACCTATCTTCTAATGATGTCACCATCCATTAGTACACACATCCTGCTAAAAATAAATTTAAGAATCAAAATCTTGTATTGTCTGTTGTTTTTGAAAACTGAAGAGGAGGAATTCTGTAACTACTCATACCAAACCTCTGCTATTTTCATCTATATTCTCACAAACGTTACTGAGTTTATGCCTGAGATGGATAAGTATTTATCCACTGTCATTCCTCTTTCTTGAAGATTAAAACTTTCACATGGTTGGTCCTAAAACTCACAAGTCCTTTCAGTTAAATCATTTGAAATTCCAAATGCAGAAGTTCGGGTGTCTCTTGCATTGAAGCTGCCATTACCAAAAGGAAAGAGCTGTGAAAACAAGACTTTTTCAGACTTTTGCTTTTTGACTTACACTCTAGTTCTTGGGTTCCCATGAAAACCAGAAGTGAGAAGTGATGGATGTAGAACTTGTCCTTCACAAGCACAATAAAGAACTTTCACTTTATTAATGTACATCTATCTTACATTTTATGTAGGTAACAGATGCATGTTATAATTGCTCTTATGCCCCTTTAGAGCCCCCCTTCAATTTAGGATTGTCCTAAAGAGCATTTTCCCTTCACTTTTATACTACTTCAAAATTGACAAATATTTAAGGTTCAGTGTACTGTAGCTGTATATGGAACCTTGTATAGGATTTATAGGTAGATGTGATTCTATCTGTTAGAGAAAATGGAATTTTTTTGCAGAAAGATTTTTGTAGGAACCCTTTTTTTCTCAGAACTTTGAGGACTGATATAACTTCCTGTTTTCTAGTACTTTGGCTGACTCTTCCCTCTCTGCATTCTCGCTGTGTCCCCCTCTTGCCTCCCTGCCCGTTCCCTAGTTTTTGAACAGAAATGTTGGTTGATCTGTTGATCTCACTGAAGGCTGATAAAAAGAGCTTTTTATGTTATACAGAACAGAGAATTAGGTATACATAAATTAATATCCAGGTGTGCTCATCTCCTTGTGATAAAGACTGTCCTGTAGACGTTCTAGAACTAACGTGGCCTTAAATACAGGCATGACATGAACAAGAGAAGTACTTGATTTACTTTTTTTTTATATTGCTTTGCTTTTGCCTTCTCCACAACCTCATTGATTACAGAGTAAATAGACTCTAAATTAAGTAGACTTAATAAATTTCAAATAAAGGCTTTGATAGTTCAAAATCTTACACGACTTATTAACAAGTGTGGGCAGGGGATCATATGACCTTTTTCTAGGAAAACAAGACAGCCCCCTCTCACCTTCGTTTTGATGTTATGGAAAAACGTAGCATCGCTACACTTAGCATGGCTGGATGACCCAGTTTCTTACATAGTGTTCTTATCAACTTACCACTTTAAATTGGGGAACATCTCGTCACCAAATCCAAATTCTGAAGAAGGAAATGCTACTCTGGGAGGCCTGCTCTGTTTTAGCAGCTTGCATTGATGATGTTGCCGTCTTGCAGTCCTCATTTTCTACAGCTGTATAAACAATATTCATATCCTTACACTCACACATCTGGTTATAGTTGTTTGTGGTTTCTTAGCATGTTAAGAGAGTATTATATGTTCAGTGCACTTTTATTTTATGATTGAGCTTTGTAGCTCAATATAGCTTGACTTGTCTTCCTAAAGGGTTTAATTTTGTCATGGGATTTTACGGGTAAACAGCAAGCAGTTAGTCCTCCTAGTCTGTAGCTCTGGAGTCAAAGGCTTTTCCACCTCCCCACCCCCCAGTTCAGTTCCAGCTTAATGGTTTCAAATGCAGACAAAAATGTTAAGCAAAGAATTTAGGGATGGCAGTGGTATAACAGGCCTCTTGTGTTTAGGTTTTGTTTCTCAGTGCAAGACTGGATTGATACTATTGTCTGCTGTTTCCCTCTACCATGGCCTTTGTTATCACAGGGTATAGTGCTTTCCTTGCTGTTTTGTTGGTTTGTTTTTTTTTTTTTTCTTTAGACCCCTTATACTTACCTAGTATCTTTCTATGCCAGCTTCTTTCTTTCAGTGCCAGATGAACTTAGGGTAATACATTCAGTCATGCTTCAAACTTTTCAAGTCCACTTAAAATAATTGGGATTCATTTCTTCATAATTTTGCAGCTGAGCAGCTAAAGTATTTTGCTGAGCTTTGGTTGAAGTTGAGGAAGATTGATTTGTAGCATGAATCCTACGCTGCTTTTTGTTATGGGGTGGAGTTTGCAGCATTGTAGGTGATGTACAACTCCCTAAATGTGGCAGCGCCACAGTAACTCAAGTTAATCTTGAGTTAGAACTAAGCTGTGCTGTACCTGCTGCTAACAGCGCAATGACTGCAGAACTGGTAGCTGGGAAATAGCGGGAAGTGGGCAATAAGGTTCATCCATACTCATCAGTACTGTTTTGAGTATTTAAGATCTGATACATGCTTGGCAGCAGAAGACTGCCTGTAAGTAGTGATACCAAACAGACCGTGTTTTCTGGTCTCTTGATGTTATGAACCATTGCATTCATTTCTGTTCAGGATTACAGCTTCAGAAATTGAAGCTGGGTTGACAGTGCTTCCAGTTCAGGGAGTATATGACTTCTACTGAAAGGGGTGTTTGAATCAATCCAGATACTCTTGGGCTGAGGGGAGCATGACTGTGGATCTCTTTGTAATAAAAAAGGAGAGCCTTCACCGGAATTATTTTCTTTTGTGGGCCAATTTCAAGTAACTGTCACTGTTTTTCAGAGGAAATGTATGTAGCTCTTAACCATCAGGAGGGAAATGTAGTCTAAGGATCTCTAATGGATGGATTCTCTTCATTCTAGTTCTCCCCATCCTACCCTGTACAAAATGGAATATGATTCAGAAACAGGCCCCTATACTTAGAGATTTGTGTAGATGGGTTCAAAGCCCTTACTCGGAGATTGGCTTTGAATGACCATTTGAGGTGCTTTGTGTAGTGTAAATGCTCTGCTCATCTTAAAGTTGAGTTGCACAGTGCAAGTCCTTTAGTGAATATAGTCACTGGGGGTTTTGTGTCTTTAAAAAAACCCAACCAAACAAAAAAACCGGATTATCTACCTGAAGATGACTGGGGAGAATTAAGCAATCACTGCAATATTCATCTCTCCTTAAGGTTTATTAGGTTAGAAGTTAAAGAATGTGAGGGGATGTTTAAAATGAGACACAGGTTGCATCTCTTATCTGCAATAGAAGTAGGCTTGCTAAGCATGCTTACAGGTTGCTAAGGTACCTTTTAAATGTGGTGGTTCTTTTGTTTCCATGAGCATTTTTTTCAGTGGCAGGAGATACAGTTGTAAATGTTAAGTTTTGTAGAAGTAATTTGCTGGACTAGAGTGGAGAACAGCAGCCCTTATGTCAAACACAGCAAAGCAAAGTCAAGTGGTCAGTGCATTTTGTTCCTCTGTGCTGTACCCATTTTATGAGAATAATGCTTATTTGCCCCATTTCTTATAACAAGCTTAAAACCTCTCTGTACTTGAGCAATAAATAGCCTTTTTCTATATTGTGACTTAACGCCTGCAGCCTCATACCATGGTACGTAGTTTCTCAATTTGTACCTGAAAGAGTATTAGACTTCAGAGCTCTATGTTGTCATTCAGAGCAACAGAAACACTTGAAGACTTCCACTTTCCGAATTGAATTACCAGATATTTGAGTATAAATCCTGGCTTTTCTAACAGATTGGGCAGGTTATAGGTTGTACTTTGCTCATCCTTGTAAAATAAGGATAACCTTTTGCTTCAGTTCAGCATGTTTTAAAGCATTGCTTGTCACATTGAAGATGCCCTGTTCTTGAAACAGGGTAATAAAAATGTTACGTCTTTTGTATTTATAAAACTTTTTACCAATTTTACCCCTATTATTTGTGAAGGGTGGGGTTTTTTTAACCTTCACTCTGCAGCTTATCCATTACTTTTTATTTGAAAGGAGGGGGAAAAAAAAAAAAAAAGAACGTAATTAGACTTCAGAGCTCTATGTTGTCATTCAGAGCAACAGAAACACTTGAAGACTTCCACTTTCCGAATTGAATTACCAGATATTTGAGTATAAATCCTGGCTTTTCTAACAGATTGGGCAGGTTATAGGTTGTACTTTGCTCATCCTTGTAAAATAAGGATAACCTTTTGCTTCAGTTCAGCATGTTTTAAAGCATTGCTTGTCACATTGAAGATGCCCTGTTCTTGAAACAGGGTAATAAAAATGTTACGTCTTTTGTATTTATAAAACTTTTTACCAATTTTACCCCTATTATTTGTGAAGGGTGGGGTTTTTTTAACCTTCACTCTGCAGCTTATCCATTACTTTTTATTTGAAAGGAGGGGGAAAAAAAAAAAAAGAACGTACAAGATACCGGGTGCTTTTATCTAATACCCTTGAGGTACCTTTTGAATTCCTTGTTATAAAAATACCGAGAGAAGATACTGGTCTTATCTAGGTAGGACTTGCTGTTGTTCGAGAGACTTTTAGACAGAATGTTCCTGGCTGTTGCAAGCCAAAAACTTGATACTGTTAACCAAAATGAATGGATCTATTTGTGTCATCCTCAGAAGAACAAGTTTTGCAGGTATGTAATGGATTCAGTTTTTGTGCAAACAAACATCTGAGAGGATGGGAAATTGAAAACGGAATAATCAGTGCTCTACCTAAAACTTTTTAAGTTTTTGAAGGAAAGCTGTAGATTGGCAAGCGACTTCGTCTGGTGCTTTCTGCAGCAGACGTTCCCTCTGCTTTGATCAGATGTTTGCTGGAAGAAAAAAACAAACACAACTGGATGTAAGAAATGGATGCAAGAACTGGATGTAAGAAATACTGAAACTGTAGCACCCATTTATGTCAGAAGTAGCAATGTAGTCTTTCAAGTTAAGACTACACCTTTTCTACAAGCCTTAATTTCCCACAGTAATATTGTTACTGTTTAGACTTTTTAAAATTCTGATGTTTGTGTTGCTAGACCTGTTAAATTTTAAGAACATATTTTTTTAATTTGTATTGTGAATACAAAGTCAGCAGAACTGTAAACCCTGCTTGTATCCCTCATGCAAGGAGAAACTTGCTTTTGGAATTGATACTTGTTGAAGCAACTGTAAACTCTAAATAGAAACATAAGACTACACTGGAATGAGGGGTAGTAACTACACGGACTAAACATTGGGCTTTCTCATTCAGTGTGAGAATTACAAAGGAAACGTTTGTAATCTAGTTTCAAAACAGAAACTGAATG